AAAAATTATACAGATCTCCCTTATTTTTGAAACTAATAGTCAAATTCCCCATTCCCGTCAAAAATGCCTTAATGACATTAACTTGACAGTGGAATTGATCATAATACCCTTCAATCCATTGTCTTCCACAAAGACCTAACCCACTTTGTATCATCATCATCTTCCTCACTCTACTACCCATTTCCACCATTGTCTTCTTCACACTCCCAAACCTCTCTAATCAAAAACCTAAAACCCAAACCAACAATAACCCCTCTTATACACACCAAAATTGCTAACTCAGCTTACGATGGAACTCTCTATCAAGACCTCTGAGTCTCCACAATCTCCACATTCCCAAATCTCATCCTCAAATTGCTCCCTCAAATCATTGTCGCCACCGTTAATCACTCCATTACGGAGGTCCGGGCCCACATCAATCCTCTCAGCTTCTGTCTCTGCTTGCCTGCAATTCTATTCTAACACAACAATCAAACCCACCAAAAAAATAATCAAGAAAATCAAGTAGTGAGCTTTTTGGGTTACCTAATCGCAAACTCTTCACGAGCTTGGAGGGCGTTGAGATCGATGTCCTATTTCTTGAAATCAAAAGGGTCTTCAGCTCGATCCAAGTAAGTAACATCCCTTATGAAATTGCACTTCAAAAGCTTAATGTTTCGCGGTCTCGATATTGATTGGATGCCCTCTTGTGCCAATCAAACACACACATATACACACACAGTGTTAAATAATTCAAATTGGCAGTGCATACATAAATAATTCGACAATTGATTCAAGGGTTTAAGCAAGGAATCAGATATGTAAAGTGAAAGAAAGAGAGAAAATGATATGAAGAACAAGTATGTTGGAGTGTGGATCGAAGGACATGACTTGGCTTTCGAACTTTTCTCTGAGTGTGGTTTGCTTGGTGGCTTTATATTGCCTATGTTCTCCGTCTTCTTCTTCCTCAATATTTGCCAATAACAATAGTGAAGAAGCAACGTGGCTAAGAGAACAGGAAGAGAGTGAGGGAGTCATTTTTGAATTAATTTGTTTATTATTTTGATGTGCTATAAATTATGATTTTATCTTAAAGTGTAATTTGTGAAAAACATTGGGAAAATGAAGAAGTATCAAACGTACCATAAATTATTGTATACACGAATTTCAATAATTAATACAACAATAACTTATGATGTCATTTGCTCCATGTTAATAAAACTATATAAATAAGAGCAATGCTATAGACCACTAATTTAACATCACTAACCCCACCACTAGTGAGGTGGCAATTGAAAAAAAAAAAAAAAAAAAAAAAAAAAAAAAAAAAAAAAAAAGCCACAAAACACATGTGGCAGTGGGTGGGACCCACTGCCACATCATTAGAGCCACCACTAATTAGTGGTCTAAAGCATTTTTGTATAAATAAATTGAAAATCAATAAGAGAAAGGGAAAATTATCAAAAAGTCCAATAAGAGAATCAGTTACTCTAAACAGTCCCATGAATTTTTTAATACACTGATAGGTCCTCTTTGTTTTGACAACCTTACTATGAGATCCTATTTTAAATTTTTGTATGATTTGATGGACGTTTCTACCCTTCTTCATTGGGGGACGCTATTTTAGGAAAGTTGGATTCAATTTTTGAACCACGTTTCCGTCACTCCAATGTAACAATGTAACACACTAAAAAATTCCTTAGTATACTCTTCCAAAGTAGTACTAAAAGACTCCTCCAACACTCTAGCGTAACACACTAAAAGATCCCTTAGTGTATTTTTTCCAAACATAATACTTAAATAACGTAACACTCCAATATAACACACTAAAAAACACCTTAGTGTACTTTTCACAGACGTAACATCCCTCCAATGTAATACACTGAAAAACTCTCCAACGTAACACACTACACTAAAAAACTTCTTAGTGTATTTTTTTCAAATGTAATACTTCTCCAACGTAACACACTAAAAAACTCCTTAGTGTATTTTTGACAAACGTAACACACCAACATAACACACTAAAAGACTTCTTAGTTTACGTTTACGAAACATAACACTCAATGTAACACTAACACACTTAAAAACTTCTTAATATATTTTTCACAAACGTAACATTCCTTTAACGCAACATATTGAAAAACTTCTCCAACGTAACACTTCAATGTTACACACTACACTAAAAAACCCCTTAATGTATTTTTCACAAACGCAACACTCCTTCAATGTAACACAGTGAAAAACTCCTCAAACGTAACACTTTGATATAACACACTAAAAGACTCCTTAGTGTACTTTTTCCAAATGTAACACTCTAATTTAACACTAACACACTAAAAAGTTCTTTAATATATTTTTTCCAAACGTAATACTCCAACGTAACTTCCAAATATAACACTCTAAAATGAAGGGCAAATGAGTCATTACACATCCAAAATGACTAACTGGTCGCAAAAAAAAAATATAGGACTATGGATCACAAGTCAAAAAATATGGGACTTATGGGTCAATCTTCCTAAGAAAAAGGGGAAAAAAATGATACATATCTTTGTTTGGTTTTCATTTTCAGAATTCACTTTTCAAAAAATTTTACTCATTTTTCGTATTTTTTTTGTTTTCACTGAATTATTATAATATTTTGAGCAATTTTTAAAATTTGGGCAAATTACATATACACCCCTCGAGGTTTGGCCAAATTACAGATGCCCCCCTGAGGTTTGAGAAATTACGAATTCCCCCCTGAATACTATATTTGCATAAGAAATTAGGGGGTTATTTGTTATGAAATATAAACCTCAGGGGGCAAATTGTTATGAAAATACAAACCTCAGGGGGCTGGATGTAATTTCCGAAACCTCAGGGGGGTATCTGTAATTTAGCCAAACCTCGAGGGGTGTATATGTAATTTGCCCTTAAAATTTTTAGACACACCTAACTTACATACACTTAAAAAGTATAATATTTGTGAAAAAAATCTTTAAAAAATTCACTAAATACAAAAAATACAAAAAAAAAAAAGAACATTCAGTATATTTTTCATATTTTTGTGTATTTATTAATTTTGTAAAATATTTTTTCACAAATATTTTACTATTTAGATACATTTAAGTAAGGTGCATCTAAAACAGTAAAAAAAAATGTTTAAAATTTTAAAAATATTCACTAAAAACAAAAAGACAAGAAAAACAAAAAACTCAATTTCTAAAAAATAAAATTTAAAAAATTGAAACCAAACACACTAAATATACTGTAAATAGAGCCCATCACACTATTGTATCTAGTATAAATTAATTATTTTTACAACTTTAGCAACCATTTAAAAAAAAAAAAAATCACAATCAGCTTGCTTGGTTTGATTTTTTAGGATTCACATTTTAAAATATTGAAATTTTTTATTTTTTGTGTTTTTTTATTTTCATTGAATTTTTTTAATATTCTAAGCAATTTTTTTAATTTTTAGATGCACCTGATATAAATACACTTAAAAAGTATAATATTTGTAAAAAAAAATTTAAAAAAATTCACTAAATACTAAAAATATATAATAAAAAAAAAAGAGAATTCAATACATTTTTCGTATTCTTGTGTATATATTGATTTTTTCAATTTTTTTTTTTTTACAAATATTTTACTTTTTAGATACATCTAAGTAAGGTAAATCTAAAAAATTAAAATAATTGTTTAAAATTTTAAAAATATTCACTAAAAAAATACAAAAAACAAAAAACTTAACTTTTAAAAAATTGAATCCAGAAAATTAAAATCAAACATAGTGAATAATAACTACAAAAACATTTCTCCACCTACTAAGATCATCTCTAATCCAAATTCATATTTTTCATCAAATTTAAATTTGATAAAAATTTAGTAAAAATGGTGTTTCAATTATTTTACCAAATTAGTATCAAATGAAGGAAGTCATACTATCAAATCAAGGGAGCGTTTAACCTTTTCTCAAATCTCCCAGGTAATAGTTAGTGGACAATCGGGTGGTTGACCGGCCTGTCAAATGGGTGGATGGTGGGTCGGATAACTGGGTGGACGACCAGATTGGAAAAGATTTGATGAAAATTTACAGTAGACCAAATGATCGGCCAGATTTGATAAAATGATTGGAGCGCATCATATCATATCAAATTTTTACTCAAAATTGATGAAAAATTTGAGTAAGCGTTGGAAATACTCTAAACATAATCATTTTGAAATTAACTAGGTTACTCATTCAGTCACACTTGTACTTTTTAATTCACTAATTTTTATTTTCATAACAAGTTTATTTTTTAAAATTGCAATCTAACACCATTAATCAAATTATTTTAATTAAATAAACTAAATAAATTAATTCAATAAGTGATACCAAACAGGTGACGGTCTTAAGCGAGAAAATAGGTGGCTAGTGTGTGAAGGACACAATAATCACTATTGTGCAGTGATATGAGCCCATTTTGGAGACCATTTCAATAATTCAAATCGTTCACATTTTAGAGTATATTGAGTAGAACATACTTACAAAAAATTAAATTAATAGGATATCGTTAATCATTTCATCAGATTACATTTGTATTTATAAAAATAAATGACAATTGTGACATGAAGTATAAAATTAAATACAAATGCGAGTGGATGAAATGATTAATAATATCTGATTAATTTAATTTTTTATAAATATATTTTACTTAATATAATCTAAAATATAAATGAATCGAATTATTGAAATAGGTTGAAAATGGGCCTGCACAACAGTGGCTCAAGTGCCATCCACCCAATCCAAACAATAAGAGAACTTACGGGCATGATTGGGCTTGTACCCAATATATTGTGGAAGTTAGGCTGGCCCAGAACGATCAGGCCTATAGTCGGGTCCAAATTCTTCATACCAAGACGAGTCCAACCAAGCAGTCCAAAAGAAAAACAAACAGAATGGGCCAGTGGGCCTGAGCGGGCCATGACGGGCCACCCGTACACATGATGCCAAATCATTGCACATTTAACTCCCAACAAACACGCATAAAACCACACCGAAGCGTGAAAACGCACCCGCATTGCAGGTCCCCCAATCTCTCGCTCTATCTCTCTCTCATACTTTTCTTGCATGCTAAGCTCTCCTTCGGGACTAATATAAAAGACCAAACCCACTAACAAAATTCGGTCCACGGCTCGCCGGAAAAAAGCATGGCCTGCAAAACAAGCTGTCTCGTTGTCGAAGATGCTCGCGTGCCGGTTCGAGCCACCTATGTAAATCTGTACAAGTGGCCTGAATCTGACGCCGAGTTTGTCAGGTCTGTGAGCTTCAACGGCCGGCGTGACGGCGAAGGAGGCGGCCACCCTAGGGTGGTGGATAGTATTTCATGCAGGCAGTTGTATTTGAGGAGCTACACGTTTTCGAGGAAGGAGAGTGTGCCTGAGAAGACTAAGAAGTGTTTTGGTAGAGTTAGACAGAGAGTGGTGGTTCATACAAGAAAGAGAAAGTCTCCTCCTTCTAAAACTGCTGGTGGTGGTGCTGGTGGTGGTGGAAGGAAGTGTGTGGTGATTGGGAGAGTGAAGGAGGTGTCTTGTGCCACCTTTTCGTCGGTGTTTCGTCGGTTGCTTTCTTGCACCACCAAGGTTGATGTGGTTGGTTGATCAATCGTCAAGACTTTCGAATTTTAATTTTGCTTATTTTCTTTCTTTTTCTTTTTTTTAACTTTTTATTTATCACAATCAATGTGTTTACTTAAGTGTTTTGTGTCTTTCTCTGTTTGAAATCTCTTTAACTTTTTATGGTCTTTGTAAAGTTCTATATAAATGATGAATTTGCAATAATTTTGGTCCTGCTATTTTCTGGGTTATAATTGAAACGTATACTCTCTCTCCTCCTCTTTCTCTGGGGCAAAATAAGTTTAATATATAAATGATGAATTTACGGCACTTTTACTAATGTATAACTGAAACATTTAAATTTTTCTATAATAAATGAAATTTGGAAGGTTAATACTTAATTATTCAATAGTCACAGAATATCGTGATATATTATTTACGTGATGTAATGCCCCAATCAATAAGATAGATGGCTACGCTTTCTTATTGGAGAATCTCCAGCTTTCTTTTGAGTGACTTCCTTCCTCCTCAATTGGAAGGAATTCAGGTCGATTCAAGTAGTTCAATTCAAACATAAGAATTGACCCAATTAGTTGTATGTTTTGCGATTTTGCATTTACCGAAAACAAAAAGAGTATTTAAAAAAATTGGTGGAATCATAGGCACCGATTTAGATCTTAATGTACTATAAAATCGGATTAATTGAATCCGTAAACACTCATAGGGAGCACAAAAACAATGTCACAAAACGTAAGTCATCAAATTATGTTTGAAAAAAGATACGTATATTAATCATGAAAAATTAATAATTTCTAACAATACCGATTATATTAATTGCTATATTTGATTATACAATTATTAGGATATCTAAAATAAAATATTTAAGAAATAAAATATGTAAATAATTTGATATACGTGCAATTCAAATCACACTAAACTTTGATTCTAAAAAGTAAATTTTAGAGTTTAGGTTAATTTCATTAACACTTTAGATTCAACTTGTTGGAGATCCCTTCAATGGCACTAAAAGATGGACGGACACACTGGGATAATTTAGCAATGGGATATATTGTGTTGACTTTTTAGTAAAGAAAATGTGTGAGGAAAGATCAACCCCACACACACACACCACATTCCAATCCAATGAATGGTCAGACTTATTTTTCATTATGTTAATAGTATTTTGAACCATCACTCAACTCCAGATGAGTCAACTGTTAAAGAGTTCTTTGGCAATCACTTATCAACTAATTAGTTTTTAAAAAAACCCAAAAAAGTTTATTTCGTTATGGTCAGATATTAAAAATTTAGAAGTCAAATTGTTTTTCTAAAATAAGTTTAAAAAAATAAAAACATAACTTATTTTAGTCCAAAAAAAGAAAAATCATATGTCTATTCTCCTATTGAAAAATTATCTAGCGGTTTGAAATTATTATGTAGGAATCAATCTTGAACAATTACCACTACAAATATGGATCCAAGATCAAGTGAGATGGGTCCCAATGGTCTTATATTCGTAGAGACAATTGTTCAGAATTGATGGGAGCAAATATGTTGTGCGGCCAAAAAATAAAAATAAAAATAAAAAAAATAAGGGGAAGAAGAAGAAGAAGGGGGAGGATTGGGCACAGAGGATCTTTGTTCATTGTTCCCACAACTTTGTTATAATTTTTTCTATTTTATTTTATTTGACTTTTTTCATTTAGTCTACAAATTAGAAAAAGGGAAAATTATTAACAGTTAATGGAGCATTATTGCCCCAAATCAATAATCAATTAACAAACCTTTCATATTTCACAAAATATATATATATATTTTTATTATCGGAAAAATAGATATCTAGATAGGCTTCTCAATTAAAGTCTCACTGTGTGATATTAAAAAGTTTGTTTAATTCTACTTAAACCCAAACATATGTTTTCAGTTTTCAGTTTATATTTACAAAAATTTTAAAAATTCAAATAAAAATTTGTTTGGTAAATTTTTGATTTATAAATCAGTGGTCTCAGTTTATAAATTTGGCCAAAAAATATAAACTCAAAAAATGTGTTTCCGTTTTGAGTTTTGAGTTTTTTTTTTTTTTTACCACCCAACACTAGCCACCACCTGCTACCATTTTCCACCATCGTCTTCCGCCACCACCACCCACCACCTGCCACCACCACTCATCACCCACCTGCTACCACCAACCACCACCCGCCACCACCACCCACCCCTCGCCACCACCACTACCACCATCACCACCCACCTGTCATCCACCCCGCCCGCCACCACCACCTACTTGCCCCCACCACTCACCACCCACCTGCCACCACCACCATCCACCACCTGCCACCACCAGTCACCCACCACCACCAGCCACTTGCCACCTACCCGCTACCACCACCCACCATCTACCACCACCACCACTACCACTACCACCATCACCCATCACCCACCCGCCACTACCACCCACCACCCACCTGCCACCACCACCACCCACCATCTGCCGCCACCACCACCACCATCACCCACTCGCTACCACCCGCCACCGTCACCCACCCACTCACCACCACCCGCTACCCACCACCCACCGTCACCACTTTTCAACACCGTCTTCCGCCACCACTTGTTATTTCTCACTCATTTTTATATTTTTATATTTTTTAAAAAATTTTGTCAATTACCAAACGCGTTTATAGTTTATGCTTTTCTAAAAATAAACAAAAAATGAACAAAAACCAATTTATAAAATTTTTATAAATATAAACTGAAAACGTAAACGTTACCAAACAGGCCCAATTATGACTATCGAGCCAATCATTCGGTGGTATATTTTGTAAAATATCAACAGAAAAATATTAGAGTCGATTGTATAAATTAATTATATGACATAGCCTGACTATGACTAGGGAACACCCAATAAACTCGTAATTTTCCAATTTAGATATCACAAACAACGAATCATCTAATTCGATTCTCCTTCAGAGGAAAAACAATTCGAGTCTCCTGAATCAGTACTTGTGGCATATTCTGTAGTGCAATTAATTATGTCATGTTTATTAATTTAAAAGAAGGTCATGTTGGGAAAAAAAGTAGTCTCTCCCATTTATTGGTGAAAACAAAATTACATTGAGAGAGAGAGAGAGAGCGCGCGCGCGCGAGAGATGTGACTTTTTTTTTTTTTAACTTTTTTTTTTACAATAATTATAAAGGGGATGAGGAAACAAAAGCTTCATACAACAAGGTTTTAAAATGAACTGATCGTAACGTGATCGTGTTGGGAAAAAATTATTACATGGAAGAGATAGCATTGAAAAGCACCTTTGCACCAATTGATTGCCCCCAATAAACATATGCAAAATTTTGTTGGAGTGGTCAACTAACAGACTCTTTGATACTTAGGTTATTTTTGACGCGAGTTTTTTAGGTTATTTTAATTACAAAAAGATAAAAATAAGTTAAAAAATCAATAAGATAAAATGTTACATTCAAATCATAATTATTTTATTTTTTCTCTTATAAAAGTCAAAAAAATCAAAAAACTCATCTCAAACGAGATTTTTTAGCTCCAAATCACTCCACATCTCAAACGGAGGCTTAAATCAATCAATAAATAAAAACTCTCAAATAAAACTTGATAAAAAAAAAAAAAACGTCTCATCCATCATGCCAATGTCGTAATCTTGAGAGCTGTCATTTAGTGGGAAGTCTTATGAATAAGAAAGTACTACAAAAGCAAGGGGCATGGGACGACTAGAAAAAAATAAATATAATAATTTACATATCTTACTAAAAATAATATATTCTCATATCAAAATTTTAAATTTTTTCACAAATTAAAATTACTTAAACAAATCTTTTAATTAGTGAAAAAAATTTAAAAATTATGTTACGAAAATATATTATTTTTAAGTTCTTATTTTTCATGCCAGACAAATAATTTGAAATAGAGGGAATACATTTTATTTGGTGTGAACATTGTCATTTTTTTTTATTTTTTTTTTAATATTGCTCTCCACTCTCACTATTAAACGACTTTCTTCATTCATAAAATTGCCTAAAAATTAAATATAAAATTACAAACATATTAAATTTATACCCACCGCTAATATATATGTGGAACTTACAATGCAAGTTTTGTTGTGTTCATCGCCTTTGTATTTAACTTTTTCTAGGCTAGTGTATTCTTAGGCCTCGTTTGGGAATCTTTCTTTTTAGTTAAAAAGTTATTAAATTAGTCAAAAAGTCAAAAACTCATACCAAAAAGTCAAAGATTTACTTTTCTCTCTACTTTTTGTACATCTTTTCGTAAAAAGTCAAAAAGTCATCCCAAACATACTAGTTTTTTTTAGTTCATATTTTAGCCAAATAGTTAAAAAGTTACTAAATTAGCATGTTCCCAAACGAGTCCTTATAATTAGGTTGGGGATACAATGTTATGTCGCAATGCAATTAGCACTTAACCCACGCGACAAATCATTACTTTAATAAGTGATCATACCATTGATTATCAATTCTCATACCCTTTAATCTTTTATCAAATTTATTATTAAACCACTCCCTCTCTGTCCCTCTCTCTCATGTAGCCCATGTTATGTTTGTAAAATATAACACGGCAATGCTATAGTCATAGCCGTATATAATGTTGATTCATTTGTTAAGAAAAAAAAATTGTAAATTTTTTGGTGGTTGCAACATTGATAATTAGTGGGACTACCTGTACTAATTTATTATGGAGATAAGTATATAGATGATAACAGTGACATCGATTATTTTCGGTGACCCAAAAAAAAAAAAAAAATTGGTTTGATAACCTATGTATATGCATAATGCTTACCAAATAGAGGATAACAATTGATTCCCTTTGGATTGCCAACCAAATTAAAGGCACAACTTAAAGAGTCATGTATTTTCAAAAGAAATAATTAATTATTTAAAATATAATGATGACATGGATAGGCCCACAAGGCTTACGGCCCACAACAAACCACCCTAAACCCATCGCTTATGACCAATAGCATAACTCGGTTGGCAAAGCCCAGGACAGTTGGAGGCCATCTGGACATGGAGGGCCAATGGCATTCGGGCACATGGCAGGTGGAACACAGGCCACATCAGCAGACAAAGATCTGCAGAGTTATTACCACAACACATCACCATTAATGCAGCCCATCACAGCATTTATTACGACAACACCTCCCCGTCGGAACAGAGCCCCCTCACCCTGAACAAGGTAAGCTACGGCACAGGCTTTCGG